AGATAACATTGAACATGATTTTGTGGTATATATTTGTATCAATGTGGCATATATATTTGTAAGTATATATCTTTGGTTTTGTAGTTCCATGTGTGTATATATCTTTGCTTTAAAAAAAAGGAAAAGAAAAGAAAAGGAAAAGAAAAAAGAAGAAGAGAAGTTTCAATGTGGGTATATATTTGTATCAATTAAATAGGTTTAGAAATTAATTGAAGTAGATTTTGTTTACTTTGCTGTAAATAAGAAGTTTTCATTTGTGATTCTTTTTGTTTTCTTTTTTTTTCTTTTTGCTTCTCTCACAAAAAGAAAAACAGAGTGTTGGATTTGTTTATATAGATTTCAGATTTGTTTTGTTTCTATGCTAGTGTTTGATTTGTGTTAAATCATTGAGTTTGATTTGGATTTGTTAAATCATTTCAGATTTGTGTCCTTCTAAAGCTGAACCAAATAAAATATGTATTTGTTTGGTCATATGAGATTTGGACGTCAATTAAACTGGGTTTGGTATTCTTCGCTAGAAAAGAGAAAAAAAAAATTAACAGAAACAGATTTAAAATGAATTGAATTGGATCTTTTTTTCATAGTTGGAAATCAAATAAGTAGTTCCATGTGTGTGTATATATAACTCTTTGCACATGTGAGATAAGAGTGAACATGATTTTGTGGGTATATATTTGTAGGTATATATCTTTGCTTTTGTAGTTCCATGTGTGTATATATCTTTGCTTAAAAAAAAATAGAAAAGAAAAGAAAAGAAAAAGAAAAAAGAAGAAGAGAAGTTTTAATGTGGGTATATATTTGTATCAATTAAATAGATTTAGAAATTAATTGAAATAGATTTTGTTTACTTTGCTGTAAATAAGAAGTTTTCATTTGTGATTCTTTTTGTTTTCTTTTTTTTTTTTCTTTTTGCTTCACTCACAAAAAGAAAAACAGATTGTTGGATTTGTTTATATAGATTTCAGGTTTGTTTTGTTTCTATGCTAGAGTTTGATTTGTGTTAAATCATTGAGTTTGATTTGGATTTGTTAAATCATTTCAGATTTGTGTCCTTCTAAAGCTAAACCAAATGAAATATGTATTTGTTTGGTGATATAAGATTTGGACGTCAATTAAACTGGGTTTGGTATTCTTTGCTAGAAAAGAGAAAAAAAAAATTAACAGAAACGGATTTAAAATGAATTGAATTGGATCTTTTTTTCTTAGTTGGAAATCAAATAAGTAGTTCCATGTGTGTATATATGTAACTCTCTGCACATGTGAGATAACAGTGAACATGATTTTGTGGGTATATATTTGTATCAATGTGGGCATATATATTTGTAGGTATATATCTTTGCTTTTTTAGTTCCATGTGTGTATATATCTTTGCTTAAAAAAAAGGAAAAGAAAAGAAAAGGAAAAGACAAAAGAAGAAGAGAAGTTTCAATGTGGGTATATATTTGTATAAATTAAATAGGTTTAGAAATTAATTGAAGTAGTTTTTGTTTACTTTGTTGTAAATACGAAGTTTTCATTTGTGATTCTTTTTGTTTTCTTTTTTTTCTTTTTGCTTCACTCACAAAAAGAAAAATAGAGTGTTGGATTTGTTTATATAGATTTCAGATTTGTTTTGTTTCTATGCTAGAGTTTTGTCACGCCCACAAAATAATAACAATAACCCATCCGCATAAAGACATGCATCGATACATAAAAGGTCCACATTCAACTAATCATCAGAGTATTTCATTACAACAGAATTACATGTTTACAACAATAGCAAATGCCCTACGGGCTTACAACTTTCCAAGTTAACACTTGGTTACAAAAGAGAGTGCTAACTTAATTATACATTAAGTCCTTGGTTTAAATCTATATGTAATACAATCAAGGAAAATGAGATAACAAATGTATGTCTGCCTCAAGTCTCCCAAGCTATATCCTCTGGGGTGGCATGCTACCTGTACCTGAAAATGATGTTCCCATATAGGGTGAGCCACAGCCCAGTAGAAATATACTAAACCAACTATAAACAATGCCTAAAAGATTAGCAACTGATAGAAGGTCGATACTTATACTTCTATTTACATCTTATTACAATTCCAAGACAGCCAAGTCTATGTTACCATTCACTTCCCATTTCTTATTCAACTCTAGGTTTGAAAACAAGGCTCAGTACTCTGGCCAAAACATTTGATGAAATTGTAGTTCATCACTAGAACACTTTAAAAAAATCAAGGTGGATACACGTTTTGATGTTGTATCAATAACACATAAACTACTTCCATACTTCGCAAACGATGATGATATACATTTTAGTGCTATATCAAATCAAACAAACTTTTCAATAGGTAAGCTTATGAGCTATAACACTGCTACAACAGATAAGCATATGAGCTATATCGACATTACGACAGATAAGCATATGAGCTATATCAATACTACAACAGATAAGCATATGAGCTATATCAATACTACAACAGATAAGCATATGAGCTATATCAATACTACAACAGATAAGCATATGAGCTATATCAATACTTCACTAAACAAGCATATGAGCTATATCTATACTTCACTAGACAAGCATATGAGCTATATCTATACTTCAACGGGTGAGCATATGAGCTGCATCCCAGAATCCATTAGCCAGTTTAGAGGTACATCCCCCATCTTCCCCTAAACCATTAACCAGCTTAGAGGTACATCCCCCATCTTCCTCTAAACCGTGGAGTACATCCCCCATCTCCTCCCATACACAAGTAATGCATATAAACACAGAATCACATACGCAATCAACCAATACATAAAGTTAATGTATTCTATCAACTGTCTACACATAGTGCATATAATCACATTGGTCATACACACAATCGATCAATACATAAAGTTAATGTATTCTATCATCCGTCATACTTTATGACACACCCGCTTGATTAGTTTTAGTTTGCTTAATCATCATGTATTGTCTACAACAATCAATACTACCCTCCACCAGTAGCCCAAAGCAATTATTTCTAAGCAGGAAATAAATGCACAAGCGGATAACATATCAACATTTCAATTAGGTGAGCAATGAATGATCTAGCTACACCCTTTAGTCTCAAACATCCCCAATTTCCACATTTCCAATTCAATGCCTCATTTCCTTTAATTAATTATATGCATTAATTAATTGAAACAATTAGGGCAAATTACCTTAATTAACAAAACAACTCTAAGGTTCCATTTTCATCCACAACCCATCATTTGACTCATTTTCATACCAAACTTGCATATAGGTTTATTTCAAACAAAACCCCAACTTTTGTAAAATTACACAAAGGCCCGAACTTTCTTTAATCTACCCAACAACACCCAACATATCAAAATGCTAAAATTTAAAGACAAAATTCATAAAGAGGAGTAGGATATCCCTACCTCAAATTCGGAGCCCAAGAGAAGAGGATGAAGAAAACCAAAAAGCTCCAAACTCCAAGATTCACGGATCAAAACGATGCCCTCGACGATCAACACAACCTTTACAAAGGTCAAAGGTAAGGAGAACACCCTAGCTAGATCAAACCCTAGAGAGAAGGGAGATTCTAGAGAGAGGAACTCTCAAAAATGGGTTTTAGAAAAGTAAAAGAGAGTGTGTGGATGTAAAAAGTGATTTAAAGTAGGCTAGCTGCCAACTGATATATGACTCTCCCGCTCGAGCGGAAAACACAACGCTCGAGCGTCAAGAACAAAAACTAGGTCCGCTCGAGCACAAAAAGTCCCGCTCGAGCGCCAAGACACAAGAATAAAGCACATCCGCTCGAGCGCGAAAACCAGTCCGCTCGAGCGTAGATTTCCTGCTCCCAGAACTTACACCCAAAGGTACCACCCGCTCGAGCTCCAACAAGTCCGCTCGAGCGCGACCCGCTCGAGCGCAAGAATCTCGCTCGAGCGTAGAAAACACATCTGTAGAAGTTTTGCAGAGGCACGAAATACAGAAACTGCGAAAACCCCGCTCGAGCGCAAGAAGACCCGCTCGAGCGGACAGTTCAAAAACTGGACAACAACAATGGGAGCTAAGGCTCTACCAACCTGAAACAACCGAGTCCAACACCTTCCAAAACTCAAACTAAAGAGTTTAAAGGACGACAACACGATAGGTACACTACCAACGCCACGGAACCGCGTCCGGAAAACAACAGAATAGTAAAGGGATAACCGGGATTGCTATAAGTTTGATTTGTGTTAAATCATTGAGTTTGATTTGGATTTGTTAAATCATTTCAGATTTGTGTCCTTCTAAAGCTGAACCAAATTAAATATGTATTTGTTTCGTCATATGAGATTTGGACGTCAATTAAACTGGGTTTGGTATTCTTTGCTAGAAAAAAGAAAAAAAAAATTAACAGAAACAGATTTAAATTGAATTGAATTGGATCTTTTTTTCTTAGTTGGAAATCAAATAAGTAGTTCCATGTGTGTATATATGTAACTCTCTGCACATGTGAGATAACAGTGAATATGATTTTGTGGGTATATATTTGTATCAATGTGGGTATATATTTGTAGGTATATGTCTTTACTTTTGTAGTTCCATGTGTGTATATATAGCGACCCCGGTCTTTTTCCCATTTGATTATTGTATCTGGACTTAGGTTCCGTAGATTCCGTCATTGTATAATTGTTGTTGTCATTCATTATTTTCTTATTTTGAGTCTTGGGTTGTGTTGGGAAGATTTGGAGCAGGTTGGTTGAGCTTAGGAACCAAGTCTAGTTGCCCAGATTTTGGCTTGTCCGCTCGAGCGGGGGTTTGGACGCTCGAGCGGAGAATACACCCATCCAGTATGTCCTGTGTAGTGTTGGCCGCTCGAGCGGGGGATTGGACGCTCGAGCGGGAAGTCGTGAGTGACGCTCGAGCGGGGAGTTGGGCGCTCGAGCGGGGACCTGTCTGCAAAAACTTCTGGGAGAGTGCATTCGCCGCTCGAGCGGGAGTTTGGCCGCTCGAGCGGGAGTCTGTGAGTGGCGCTCGAGCGGGGGTTTACCGAACAATGGCATCTTTGGAATCCTGATCTCTGGCAAAGCAGGCATTGGAAAAGCAAGCACCGGCAGTGGCTCTCCTAATAAGTCGAGATGCATGGGGTAGTAACTCGCAATGGCAGCACATGACTGTGTAAAAAATGCAGCTGCAGCTATGCCCAACTGCTTGGCTATGTTGAGAGCCCATGGCATATTACCGTCATACACGAGACACTTAACAGGATACTCAGAGCTTTCTAGTTTCCTGATGAGCTCAGTTACGCAACATGTGCCACTCGCTTCAAACCTATCAAGATAGCCCTTAAATCCTCCAGGTCCTTGAATCCCGCCTTCAGTGCAATCATCATATACTGGCTCAAAGGCAATTGACCCAGCTCTACTAGGCATGGTTTTGGTAACTGAAAGAACGGTAGTTACGATGGCTTTAAGTCCTTTTGAGGCCAAACGTTTAGAAAACTGGAGCATCGGATTGAGATGACCTTGCCCATAAAACGGGAATACAATAACGTGAGCTTTGTAAACTCTCTCTTCCTCCATTCTTCTATAAAATGCTTGGTCTCAGCCTCTCAATATTTTCCAAGCTGTTAAAAGGCTGCATTTGGAAGTATGAAGTGTTTGTTTTGAGCCTGAGTCTCATCTGTTTGTTGACATTGGAAGAATGTGAATATAATATATATAGTTCACTGTTGTAAGTTTGGCCAGGTTCTGAGCCATATTGATAAAGTTGGAAAGTAAAACGTGTCTTAGACAATATTGTCATGAGACTGTAAAATGATGTAATTGATTATCTTGGTTAACCATCTATTGAATGCTGTAGCTTTATTCAATGCTTATATTTGGTTTAGTATTTTTCTATTGGGCTGTGGCTCACCCTTTATGGGAACATCATTTTCAGGTTCAGGTGATAAGCTACCTCCACGGACTTAGCCTGGAAGGATTTGATGTTTGGGATTTGAAGACTTGTCTTTAGTTATAGGTTTTATTTTGTTATTTTGATATTTCATGTAAACATTCAAGCCTAGGGCTTATCTTGTAAATGAGTTAGTACTCATCCTTTTTGTGTCCAAGTGTTAGCTTGGAAAGATGTAAGCCCTTAGGGCATTTATTTTGATGTTGCAGGATGTTACATGTGATGTCTTTCAATAAGAATACTCTGATGAATAACTCAAATGATTCGTTTTCTTTTATAAATGCATGTTAAAGTTATGGTTATTATGGGTTTATTTTGAGGGCGTTACAGTATATATCTTTGCTTAAAAAAAAAAGAAAAGAAAAGAAAAGGAAAAGAAAAAAGAAGAAGAGAAATTTCAATGTGGGTATATTTTTGTATCAATTAAATATATTTAGAAATTAATTGAAATAGATTTTTTTTTACTTTGCTGCGAATAAGAAGTTTTCATTTGTGATTCATTTTGTTTTCTTTTTTTTTCTTTTTGCTTCACTCACAAAAAGAAAAACAGAGTGTTGGGTTTGTTTATATAGATTTCAGATTTGTTTTGTTTCTATGCTAGAGTTTGATTTGGATTTGTTAAATCATTTCAAATTTGTGTCCTTCTAAAGCTGAACCAAATGACATATGTATTTGTTTGGTCATATGAGATTTGGACGTTAATTAAACTGGGTTTGGTATTCTTTGCTAGAAAAAAGAAAAAGAAAATTAACAGAAACGGATTTAAAATGAATTGAATTGGATCTTTTTTTTCTTAGTTGGAAATCAAATAAGTAGTTCCATGTGTGTATATATGTAACTCTCTGCACATGTGAGATAACAGTGAATATGATTTTGTGGGTATATATTTGTATCAATGTGGGTATATATTTGTAGGTATATGTCTTTGCTTTTGTAGTTCCATGTGTGTATATATCTTTGCTTAAAAAAAAAAGAAAAGAAAAGAAAAGGAAAATAAAAAAGAAGAGAAGTTCCAATGTGGGTATATATTTGTATCAATTAAATTGATTTAGAAATTAATTGAAATAGATTTTGTTTACTTTGCTGTAAATAAGAAGTTTTCAATTGTGACTCTTTTTGTTTTCTTTTTGCTTCACTCACAAAAAGAAAAACAGAGTGTTGGATTTGTTTATATAGATTTTAGATTTGTTTTATTTCTATGCTAGAGTTTGATTTGTGTTAAATCGTTGAGTTTGATTTGGATTTGTTAAATCATTTCAGATTTGTGTCCTTCTAAAGCTGAACCAAATGAAATATGTATTTGTTTGGTCATATGAGATTTGGACGTCAATTAAACTGGGTTTGGTATTCTTTGCTAGAAAAAAAGAAAAAAAAATTAACAGAAACAGATTTAAAATGAATTGAGTTGGATCTTTTTTTTCTTAGTTGGAAATCAAATAAGTAGTTCCATATGTGTATATATGTAACTCTCTGCACATGTGAGATAACAGTGAACATGATTTTGTGGGTATATATTTGTATCAATGTGGGTATATATTTGTAGGTATATATCTTTGCTTTTGTAGTTTCATGTGTGTATATATCTTTGCTTAACAGAAAAAGAAAAGAGAAGAAAAGAAAAAGAAAAAAGAAGAAGAGAAGTTTCAATGTGGGTATATATTTGTATCTATTAATTTATAGCGATCCCGGTTTTCCCCCTTCCTTTTTTTTTTATTATTATTCCGAACTCGGTTCCGTGGTTGATGGTTGTTGTCTGTGTTGCATTTCCATCCTTTAACTCTTGGTAAGTGAGTTTAGAAATGTTTTGGGCAGAGTTATTATAGGCTGGTTTAGCTTTGGTCCCATTCCTCGTTGCCCAGATTTTTTGTGGTACGCTCGAGCGGGTTCTTTTGTGCTCGAGCGGAGTTTGATTTTTGGTTGTCCGCTCGGGCGGGTATCTTTGCGCTCGAGCGGAGTTTGCACACTTGTCACGACCCCATTCCGCCCTTAGTAGAATGGTACTATGATGGCCAGTAATTTGAGATTTACCGAAGGCCAACTTTCTAAATTCACACACAATCAGAGTATTACATATGGGGCTAACATGTGCGGAAGCAATATATATAAATTTAATTAGTCCATAAGAGCTGTGCATAAGTTAAATGGAATGACATACATTCGTACATAACTTTAATACAACAAAATGAAGCACAAAAATACATCTTGACCAAAAGGCTTCTCAGCTATCAAATACAAAATACAATAAAATACAACTAAGAAGCATAATCTTCAAGATGCGGCAAAAGTGCATAATCCAAAAAAGTAGCAAGTACATCTAGGCGTCACCGCCGTCCTGCTCGTCACCTACATATATATAGAGAGGGGTGAGCTTGGATACTCAGTGAATCGTATAAATAATAAAGGGGTTTACATGAATGATATCTGAAATCTTTATCAAATCAAGGCACATCACATCTTGTACAAAATCCAAGGGTAAATCAAGTTTATCTAACAGTCTTTCAAGTCTCAATAATTTAAGTCTTTCAAGGCTTTCAAGTTCCAAGGGGTGACATTAACAAAGATTGTGCTACAAATGCTTATAGTCCCCTAGCACGTACGGACTTTCAAAGGTTGTCATTCAAAACAAGGCTAATACTTGATATACAAAATGGGGATCATCATTCATGCTTCGCAAAATACTTTTCCAAAACAAGCAAAGCAAAACTTTATCAAAATTTAATAACATAACTTTATTAAAAATACCACTCACATAGCTCTTCAAACGTCGGGTCAAGGCAAGTCCAAGTCCTACAAACGCATGGCAAAGTCTATTGAATGCATTTTCAAACAAGTTCACATGCATACAGATGATCTCGGCATCCTTCGAAACCAAGCTAAGTCAAAACAAATCACTATTTCTCATCTCGGAAAAACATGCTGGGTGACTACCAGGTCTAGGCCGAGGTCCCACACCTCCTTGCCGAGGTGTTGCCTCGATGGCCACATTCAAAGAAATGAGGTCGGGAAAATCTGGGTTTCCCTCTCTTGAAGAACATGAACATGAGGAGGATAAATGCAAGATCATAATTTGCTATTACGAAATCTGAGATTTCATGCTATGAATTCAAAAATATGGACCTAGGTACCAATATTCAAGGACCTTGGGAGAACAAACACAAAACATGAATCTTAATGCAAACTTTCGGATCAAACAAGACTTTTTCTTCAAAAACACATGAACACTATCTTCTCTTTCTAAAACCCACTTTAAACCAATGCATAACATGCAAAACAGGTTCGATCGTGCAATGCAGCTAGATAAACATATGGAACAACAAAAGTAAATTAAGAATCTAACCTCAATACGCGAATCTAACGGTTTGATCTCTAGGAATCAAGCTCAAAAGCCCACTCTCTCACTCTAAAACTTCTTCTTCTTCTTCTTCTAGAGCTTCTCTCTCCTCACAAACAAAGACATATAGCAAATGATACATTTCCAGGTCTGCTAGCTGACTTAACACCCAGCTGAGACATGTGGCACTACTGGGTTGGTTCTCCTCAAAAAGGTGGCTGAGTGAAAAGACAAGACTATGACAAAGTGTGTTCAACAAGCAAGATGGCATGGGCGCTCTGGAGGGTAATGATCTCGGCCATGAACAAGACATCGGCAAGCAGAGGAACAATAATCTCGGCTAGGAAGGACAACACTTGACTAAGCTGTGCCACACCTTGGCCTAGATGTGCCACACCTTGGTCTAGGTCACACCACTCTAGGACAAGATCACTTAGGTGCAAAGGTAACATCTCAGCCTAGATAATACACATCTCGCCCTTGGTGATGAACACCTCGGCTAGATAATGACATCTCGGCCAATATGTCAGGGCGAAGGTGGAGGTCAAACAAAGTGGTTCCAAGGAAGTTCTAGACTAAAGATGACCTCGGCTAAACTCACACCAAGCAAGGTACAAAACATGCGAGAAACACTTAAGCAGCAATCCCGGTATAATCAATTACATGTAGTGGATCCCGAATATACTTCCTCAACATCGAAATATGGAACACATTGTGAACTTGACTTAGTTCTGGTGGCAAAGCTAGTCTATAGGCAGCTGGGTTAACTTTCTCAAGAACTTCAAAAGGCCCGACGTAACGGGGTGCCAATTTACCCTTCTTCCCAAATCTTGAAACTCCTTTCATCGGCGAGATCTTCAGGAATACATGATCCCCAACTTCAAACTCTAACTCTTTTCTTCTCTGGTCGGCATAACTCTTTTGTCGACTCTGAGCGGTTCTAATTCTCTGTTGGATAAGCTTGATCTTTTCGGTTGTCTTTTGAATTAGATCAGGGCCGACCAAAGCTTTATCTCCTACCTTGGTCTAACATATCGGCGATCTGCACTTCCTTCCATACAGTGCTTCATACGGCGCCATGCCAATGCTAGCTTGATAACTGTTGTTGTAAGCGAATTCTACTAATGGCAAATGCTCTTCCCAGCTTCCCTTGAAATCCAATACACATAGTCTAAGCATATCTTCAAGTGTTTAAATTGGTCTCTCTGTTTGGCCATCGGTCTGGGGATGAAAAGCCGTACTAAACCTCAATTCGGTCCCCAAAGCCCTTTGTAAACTCTGCCAAAATCTAAAAAC